CACAAGCATTTGTTATTCGGTATCCTATTGATCACTGCTATTGTTGCTGGAGATGACAACTCATTATTTTATTTTGCATCTCTCTAATAGCTAGAGATTCTGAGCTTTTCTTAAGGTGTTTATTGGCCATCTGATTATCTTATGTGGTAAAACATCTTCTACCCATTTTGCAATTGGGTTGTTTGGCTTTTTCTTGTTGAGCTGCTAAAAGTATTCTATAAATTTTAGCTAAGAGTTTCTTGTCAGAGATGTCACTAACAAATATTTTTCCCAGTCTTCAGGCTTTCTTTTATCCTATTGAAGAAGTTTTTAATGTACACACACAAGTATTTGGCATTTAAACTCAGTTGTAGAGCTTCAGTTATGTTCAAAAGTCAATTAACGCCACAGATTTGTTTTTGGTGTGGTTTTTTTTTTCTGATGATTGTTATTTTTTTGTTGTTGTTTACCCTTAGGTCCCGGATCCACCATAAATTGTTTTTTGTGTATGATGTGAAGAGTGGGAATTGCTTCAATTTTCTGCAAATATATGTCCAATTTTTCTAGTGTCATTTGTTAAATTCATCTCTTTCTCAAAGATCAGTTGACCATTATTGGATGGATTGATCTCAGGGTTCTCGATTCTATTCAATTGATCTGTGTGTCTGTCATTGACAAAAAAAAATATATATATACCATGCTTTCTTAATTACTATAGCTATGTAGTATATTTTGCAGTCAGAGTGTGTGATTCTTCTACTTTGTTTTTCTTTTACAGTAATGCTTTACAATCCAGGGTCTATTTCTTGTCCAGAAAAAAATAGAAATTACCTTTCCCATTTTCTTGGACAATGGCATTAGTACCTATACTGGAACAGAATTGAACTTGTAGATTGCCTTCAATAGAACTGTCATAATATTAAGCCTCCCTATAAACCAGAATTGTATCATTTTCTCTGAATAAATCCCTTGTATCTGGAATCAGATCTCTTCCTATATTTTATCTTATGGTTATCAATTGTAACTGGTATTGTTTTTCTTTTTTTTTCTTTTTTTGGGGGGGTATTGTTTTTCTTACTTACTTTTCTATGTCCTCTTTCCCTGACTACCGTATTCCATGGAATGCAAAAGAGTAAACAGATATGTCTTGGAGCAGGTACAGCCAGAGTGCTCCTTGGAGGCAAAGGTGAGTGATAAAGCTTTGCCTCACATACTTTGGGCATATTGCTAGAAAAGGCTATTCCTTGGAGGACATCATGCTTGGAAAGGTGGAAGGTTGGTCAAAGAAAGAAAGACTCTCAACCATATGGATTGACACAGTGACTGCAATAGCCTCAAGTATGTTAGAGAATGTAAGGATGGCACAGGATAGGACAAGGCTCTGATGTGTTGTTGACAGGATTGTTATGGGTCAACCTTAACTCGAATGCACCTAACAACAATTTTCCCTTTGCTACTGTAGAGAAATCCAGCTGGTTATTGTATATTTATTTGTACCCTGTTACTCTGCTAAACTGATAGCAACAGTTTTCTTCCTGAGTCTTTAGTGTTTTCTAAGTGTATTATGGTATCATTTGTATATACAGATAATTTTACCTTGTCTTTACCAATTTGGATGTTTCTCATTTCCTTCTCATCTTATTGCTCTTGCTAGGACTGGCAATGCAATATTGAATAAAAGTGGTGATAATAGGCATCCTTGCTTAATTCCTATTCTTTAATCTCTCTCTATTGAGGATGATGCTGATTATTGGTTTAGAGTTGTTGTTGTTGTTGTTGTTGTTGTTGACATTGTTGATGTTGTTGTTGTGTACCTTTGAGTCAGAACCGACCCACAATTGACATTCCAGTGGGTTTTCAAAGACAGTAAATCACTAGGGAAGAGATTGCCCATCTTTATCCCACTGAGCAACTTGTGGATTCAAACCACATGCCTTTGGGAATGCACTGCAGTTCCTTACCACTAGGCCACCAGAGCTGCTCATAATGATGCTGAGGAAATTTCCCTATATTCGTAATTTGTTGTGTATTCTTATTAGGAAAGAGTGTTGAATTTTGTCAAAAGCCTTTTTTTGCACCAACTGAGACAATCATGTGGTCTTTTGTTTTATTGATGTGATGTAATAAACTTACAGTTTTGTATTATGTTGAACCATCCTTGAATGAGTGTTATAAATCCCCTTTGGTCATAATGTATTATTCTTTTGCTATTTTGTTAAATTCTATAGGCTAGGACTTTGTTAAGGAGTTTTGTTTCTATATTTATGAGATATATTGGTCCCTAATTTTCTTTTCTGGTGGGTGGAGTCCTTACCTGTTATAAATTATAACAGCAGTTATTTAGCCTATAGGGCAAGTAATGAAAATGTTAGAATTTTTTGTAGCTGTGTTTGGTTGCTTTAGTATCAGTGTTACGTTTGCTTCATAGAATGAATTGGGGACTATTCCCTCTTATTCTATTGTCAGAGATAATTTAAGTGGAATTGGTGACAGTTTTTCCTGGAAATTTTGGTAAAATTTGCTAGTAAAGCCATCCAGTTAAAGGTTTGTTGTTGTTGTTGTTGTTGTTGGGAGTTTTTGTTGTTTTGTTCTGGATTTTTATTATGGCTTGCTCAGCCATTTAACTTTAAAACTGCAAGTCCAATTTTAAAAATTTAGGTATACCAGAAACTCTACAATAAAAGTCCTACCTGGTCAAATTCTAATTGGCATTATCTATCAAATCAGTGACCCAGTGATGAGAATCTTTGTCTTCTTGATGTTACACTTAAATCCATATTGAATACTACAGTTCTTGACCATCCATAGCAAATGCTTCAGATTCTCCTCAGTTTTAGCAAGCAAGGCTGTATCATCTGCATAACACAGTAGTTGATGAGTCTTCCTCCAATCTTGATGCCATTCTCTTTCTCATCAAGTTCAGACTTCCAAATGTATGATCTCCATACAGACTGAAAAGGTTTGGAAATAGGACACATCCCTGCGCCTTTCCTTCCTGATTTTGAGCCAGGCAGTGTTTCCTCGTTGTGTTCTGAGTACTGCTTCCTGAACCATATATAGGTTTCACATAAGCACAATCAAGTGTTCTGGGATTTCCATTCTCCTCAAGAGATCAGCCACAAATTGTTGTGATCCACACAGTCATATGTCTTTGCATAGTCAATGAAACACAGACAGACATTCCTTTGCTACTCTTTGCTTTCAGCCAAGATTCATCTTACATTGACAATATGTCTCTAGTGTCATGACCTCTTCTAAACCTAGCTTGTATTTCTGGTAGTTCTCTGTGAACATACTGCTCTGGTCATTTTTGGATAATCTTCAGCAAGATTTTACTTGTGTGTGATATTGTTCAATAATTTCCATATTCCGTCAGATCATCTTTTTTTTTATAGGAATAAATACAGATTTCTTCCAGTCAGTTGTCCAGGTAGTTATCCTCCAGATATCGTGGCACAAACTGGTGAGCACATCCAAAGTATCATCTATTTGTTGAAATATGTCAACTGGTATGCTGCCAATTCTTGGGGCCTTGTTTTTAACAAAGATACTCACCACTTGGCCAACTGACAACACTATGAAGGATGGAGAATAGACTGAGTTTGTTAATAATTTCAGCTTTCTCCACTACAAAATCAACACTCTTGGAACCAACAGTCAGGAAATCAAAAGACTAATTGCATTGGATAAGTCTGCTGTTAAGGACGTCTTCAGAGTGTTAAAGAGCAATAATGGCAGTCTAGAGACTAAGGTGTGTCTAAGCCAGGCCATAGTCTTTGCAATTACTTGCTATGTATCAGAGAGCTAGATAATGACTAAAAATGACAGAAGAAGAATTGATGCCTTTGAGTTGTGGTGCTGGAGAAGAGTCTTGAACATACCGTGGACCACCAGGAGAACAAAGAAGTCTGTCTTGAAGAGGGTAAAACCAAGTTTCTCCTTGGAAGTAAGGATCTTGAACCTCTGTCTCACATATTTCGGCCACATGGCCAGGAAGCACCAGACTTTGGAGAAGGATATCATGCTTGGAAGGGTGGAGGGACAACAGAGGAGAGGAAGACTCTGGATGAGATGGATTGACACAGTAACTGGGGAAATAAGGGTAGGTGTATTGGAGTCAGCGATAATGGCTCAGGATAGCACAGGGTTCAGAGCTATTGTACATAAGGTCTCTGTGATTAACGGTAGACTTAATGACACATAACAACAAGAACATCAAATTAGTGAATACTCACTAAAATGTCTGGAATAAATATCTGAAAATATATTTTATTATTAAAAAATACATTTTTTCTGAGTATTAACTTTTACTTTCAGTTCATACAAACAAAATGAAATCATCAATTCCCTTATTTTTCTTTAAAATGACAAAAATGTCTCCCTAAATAAGGGGGTGTATTAGAGACACTTTTCTCTCTGTGAAGGTCTGCTAGACAGTCGAAGATGAGGTTTAGACTTGGTGATTATGAATTTTTATGTAACTCTGGCAATTCAAGACTTAAAAAGATTTTGGTGGTGAGAATAAAAATCCAGGGCCGAAATCTTCTCTCTTCTCTCTATTCCTCTGCTAAATTTAACCTCTAAAATGATGTCTAATATGAGCCAAGGGGGTGGGGGAAAGATAAAGGGGATACTTCTGGTTAAAGTGAAGGGATATCTACAGGGTTCTCATATAGAGGTGGGCTAAAATAAGGCTATGAGCTCACAGTATTCCATTTCAGTAGATCTAGAATCCCTTCAGCGTCATTTCTATTCCAGTGAAGTGAACAGTAGCCCATGAAGCACACTTGTGTATTAGTTTCTGATGTCCTTGTGAGTTTCCATGTTATGGGACTGAAATGGCTAGTCTTCATGGAAAACTAAAAGGTAAATCTGAAATTTATCTTTATCAAAAAAACAGTTTTCATAATTAAGATAAAGTAGGCAGGTAGTTAAGTAGACAGATAGAAAAGATTGTTTGTTTTTTAAGGATCCATCTCAGATTGTATATTTAGTTAAGTCCTTTCTGGGGAAGACGTTACCTGAAATGACACCACAATAATGGTTGTAAGGAGTAGGCTTCTCTGTGGCTTTTTCTTCCATGGACCTTTTCTGCCTATATACACGGTGTGGGTGACCAGTTATAGCCATTGTGTCATTGAGAGGCTCAATAAATATGAGATCTTCATTGATCTGTATAAAGCCCATCTGGAATACAAAATATATATAAATAAAATGTAAGCCATACCATTAAGGAAATTACTTTCTAGGTTTCTACACACACACACACTCTCACACACTCTTTCAAATATGCAAATGTCAACATTTTCTAGGGACATTATTTTAGCATCTGTTGTTGTAAGGTAACTATTTTCTTATTTTATAACTTCATCACTAAGCACTTTATAACACCAGCATAAACTTCATTTAGTCAGTCTTAGACTGTGTGGGTGGGAGGCTTGATGCCAACAACAGATGCACAGTAAAAATTCTGGAATGTTAAAGGCTCATTTTGGGAGACCCATGGGGTCACTTCTATGTACAGCATGTACAGAAACAGTCATATAATTTTTAATTGCATACACCCCACAGTCCAAATCTTTGACATTCATTATTTAACAAAGTAATTCATGTAACATATCAAGGCAAGGGGAGGATATTAACACGAAAATTGATATATAAAATATTTTAAAAGTGTTCTAAACCTTATTCTCTAAAAAACTATTTAGGCCATAAATTAGAGTAAAAATGAAACATCAATTATGTAAACACATTTTATTTCATACAGTGCTATGCTTCTAAAGTCAATCAGTTGGGGACAGAAAGCTGAAACTATAAAATAAAGTAATACTCAATAAAGAACTCATTACCATTAGATAAATGTATCTAAGCTAAAAATTTTTCTGAAGCTTTAACACATCTTCTAATTGGTTAATTTTATTCCATACATATTACTCAACATTAAGTGCTAATCATTAAAAATTATAGTATATATACATATGAACTTAAGATAGATGATGTCACATTATATATCATTGACCTATGAATATTTTGCTTTTGTCTTATGGCTTGTGGTAGTTCAGAGATTAATAAAACTAACAGTGTGTCTGGTGATTAAGGACATTTTTATGATGCTTCTTGAGAAAATTTTAAGTAAATGTGCTAAATATGCTAACTTATAAATTTATATCTACTGATACAGTCTTTCAACAGGTTATAAACATAGAACAACAAGCCTTATAAAATTCAATTGCATACCAATGTATAAATTTTAATGACCTCATGAACAGATTCTTGGCTTAGATAATTTGGGTTTATAACTTATTTCTAACTATGTAGCTATGAGAAAAATTACAATGCCTTTATAAGTACAAGTTCACATAGTTGTTTTGAGCTTAATTTTTCAAAACAATCTAATTTTTCAAAAAGTATTAAACATAAGATAAGAACACAGAAATGTTTGCTATTATTTTCATTTTAACAAGAATTCTCATGCTAAATACAAGCACCCAGAAATACATAAATAGTTGAATAAAAACTGAAGAATTTACCTACTCCAAAGAATCAAAGTTGGTTTTATGTTTATATTATTAGAAGATTACATAGTCTAAAATAAATCCTTTGTCTAGGATTTGAAAACCTCTTCGATAATAAAAAATAACTATTTATGCCAAAAAATGTAGTGATTTATTTTTTAAAAATTGGAGTAATTCTTAATAGTGATTCATTCATTCATTAATTTTTTATTATTGTCTAAGCATTGTTCTGTTCTGCATATAGGTTGAAAAGGTATGGAGATAGGATGCATCCCTGGTGTACGCCCTTCCCAAATTTGAACCATGCAGTGTTCCCTTGCTCTGTTCTGACGACTGCCTCCTGGTCCAAGTATAAGTTTCGCATTAGAACGATCAAGTGTTCTGGGATTCCCATTCTTCTCAGAGTCAGACATAGTTTGTTATGATCTACACAGTCAAATGCCTTTGCATAGTGAATGAAACACAGATAGACATTCCTCTGGTATTCCCTGCTTTCAGCCAAGATCCATCTAACACCAGCTACAATATCTCTAGTACCACGACCCCTTCTAAACCCGGCCTGGACTTCTGGTAGTTCTCTGTTGATGTGCTGTTCCAGTCGTTTTTGGATAATCTTCAGTAAAATTCTTTTCAACCTATATGCAGAAGAGATTATCCGGGAGGCTGGGCTCTAAGAGGAGAAATGTGGGGTCAAGATTGGTGGACGATTTATCAACAACCTGCGTTATGCGGGTGACACAACCCTGCTTGCTGAAACTGAAGAGGACCTAAAGCGCCTGCTGCAGAGTGTCAAGGACTGCAGCCTACAATATGGATTGAGGCTCAATGTCAAGAAGACAAAATTCTCACCACTGGACCAATTGGCAGCATCAGGATGGATGGTGAAGAGATTGAGATTGTACACAGCTTTAGTTTGCTTGGCTCCATAGTCAACAGTCTTGGCACCAGCAGCCAGGAAATTAAAAGGTGCATTGCCATGGGAAAGTGTCTGCTGTTAGGGACCTCTCCAAAGTACTGAAGAGCAATGGTGTCTCTCTGGAGACGAAGGTGCGTCTGATACAGGCTATGGTCTTCCCAGTCACTTGTTATGAATCAGAGAGTTGGACAATGACCAAGGAGGATAGAAGGAGAATTGATGCCTTTGAGCTGTGGTGCTAGAGAAGAGTATTGAGAATAGGAAAACAAACAGATTTGTCCTGGAAAGAGTTAAACTGGGTGGCTCCTTGGAGGCAAGGATTCTGAGGCTCCGGCTAACATACTTTGAACATGTTGTGAGGAGAGACCGGTCCTTGGAGAGGGACATCATGCTTGGGAGGGTGGAGGGACAGTCCAGGAGGGGAAGGCCCTCTATGAGGTCGATTGATTCAGTGACTGGGATAATTGGGATGGGAGTGTCAGAGACGGTGCGATTGGCACAGGACAGAGCAGAGCTTAGGGCTGTTGTACATAGGGTCGCTATGAGTCGCAAGTGACTCGACGACACATAACAACAACAACACAAGCATTGTTCACCAGACTAAGTTCACTGTAGCACATATTTAGAACCAACATCGTACTCTGAATTTTCTGTTACCTGATTCTACCCTATGGTATACAGGAATATTGTTTCTTGGTTCACTGTGTTTTCAAGGTACTGACTTTCCTAAGCAGACTTGTTAAAAACCTTGAAGTCTTCCATTTCCTCCTAAAGGACTTATTTTTTCTTTTAATAACGAACATTATGTAATCTTCATTGTGATCTGACAAACCATGAAAAAAAAAAGTAGCTCCAAATTATCTCTCTGCACAAGCACCCCTGAGTTCAAGCAACCACAGTCCACAAGCATTTGTTTTAGTGTAAAATTGTTCTCTCAATTTTAGAATGGAAAGAAAAGATTATATAAGATATTGTAACAGAACTGGGCAACGTTTCCTTCTGTTGTGCATGATGTTTTAATGATTAGGAAGCAATGAGGGGGGTGAGAAAAGGAGGGGGAGGGAGGA